GGGTAAGCCTGGCTTGCGAGGATTTAAGGGCATGAAGGGCTCAGCCGGTATTCCCGGTGAGGTGGGTCGCCCCGGCAAGCAGGGTCCACCCGGCATAATCGAGTACAGCGGCAGCCAAAAGGTGACAGAAAAGGGCGACGATGGCGACAATGGACGACGCGGCGAACAAGGTGCCCAGGGTGACAGGGGCGAGGATGGATGGAACGGCATAAGCGGAGCCAAGGGTGAACCGGGTCTTCGTGGAGACTTCGGTGACGCAGGTCGACCCGGATTAGACGGCGCACCAGGTATCAATGGCCGCGACGGTAAACCAGGTGCTCCGCCAACCACACCCAAGTTCTATTTAACCGGTGAGCCCGGCTACAATGGCAAAAAGTAAGCTATTTCCTTGAATAATATCTGGCGTAACTCTTAACTGTGACATGCCTTCTATTCTAGGGGCGCTCCTGGTGATGTGGGCAGTGTGGGTCTTAAGGGTGACAAGGGTGAGCCACATCCGGGCGAAATAATTGAGAACCGTGGCGAGCCTGGAGATGTTGGCTATCCCGGCGAGCCTGGCTTCCGCGGACCAAAGGGCGAGGCTGGCGAGCCCGGCCTTAAAGGCATAATGGGTGATATGGGCATTCCCGGCGAAGTCTTCGTGGGACCACCTGGAGCCAAGGGCTATAAGGGCGAGAATGGCGACTATGGACTACATGGCCTGACTGGTAAGCCTGGTAGAGACGGTGAGCCCGGCCTGCCTGGCGTGATCGGCCCCAAAGGATTCCGTGGTGAGCCTGGCCAATATATTCTGCCTGGAGAGATCGGCGTATCCGGCCGACCTGGTATCAAGGGCATAATTGGTGACGAGGGACCAATCGGCTATCCCGGTCCCAGGGGCCGACCCGGACCGAAGGGTAGCAAGGGCGTGACAGGTGATGACGGTTTGATGGGCCTGAAAGGTCTGCCCGGCAACAAGGGACAGCGTGGCGACATTGTGGTTGGACCTCCTGGCCGACAGGGTGAGCCCGGTCGCTCGGGCAGCGTGGCCCTGCACGGTGTAAAGGGCCAAAAGGGTGAGGTCGGCTACCCTGGACAATTCGGCCAGAATGGCGCCAAAGGCAGCATTGGATACCCAGGACGCGCTGGCCGAGTTGGCGATCCAGGTCCAGCCGGCTACCCCGGCGAACCGGGTCCCTCTGGTCTGGCTGGCATTCCCGGCGAACAGGGTGATCGCGGCGACATTGGATTTGATGGACGAACTGGCGATCTGGGTCCTCGCGGCGCAGTCGGTGATTTCGGTCCTAAAGGTTTATATTGTTTACCCTTTCGTCATGCTGCTGAAAGGCTAAATGTCTGGTCTCTGTTTTATAGGTCTTACCGGAGATATCGGTCCGTTCGGCTACCCCGGTGTGCCTGGCATGCCCGGCATCAAGGGCGAGCAAGGTGAGCAGGGTGTGTCGGGACGTCGCGGTGCCAAGGGTGTGTCCGCCTACAGCGGCATTAAGGGTGATCAGGGTGATGCCGGCTGGCAGGGCCCACCTGGTTTCAACGGAGCACCCGGCTTCAAGGGTGAGCGTGGTGCACCAGGTGATTCACTGCCCGCTTCTGATGGTCTGCCGGGCTTCAAGGGCGAGGTTGGTGCGCCCGGTCGCAACGGATTACCCGGCTTGCATGGTTTGAAGGGAGCACGTGGCGAGATTGGATTCTATGGTCAGCCTGGCATGATCGGTGATGAAGGCGATGATGGTATCCCTGGTTACCCCGGTCGCCATGGAGCTGCCGGACTTAAGGGCGAAGCCGGTCAAGTCGGACCCATGGGCTCACCCGGTGATTTTGGAGATATCGGCGATGTTGGCTATCCAGGCGCCCCAGGATTGCAGGGCGACGAAGGACTGCCTGGTGAATATGGTCCAAGCGGCAATACGGGTGAAACCGGCGAAAGGGGTGACATCGGTGATGTTGGTGAGGTTCTCTACCTGGGCAACATAGAAGATACCCGTGGTGAGACCGGAGATCATGGACTAACTGGCGAGACAGGCCCGACGGGAGAGCCCGGCATGGTCGGTGCCGCGGGCTACCGTGGTGCACGTGGACAGCCCGGTGACATTGGGTTCGGAGGTCAGCCTGGATTTGATGGCCAGCCAGGACCCAAGGGCATACAGGGCGACAAGGGATTGCGGGGCGTTCCCGGTGCAAGACTCGTTGCCGAACGCGGCGACGAAGGTGACCAAGGATATGACGGACTTGCCGGACGTCCTGGACGCTATGGCCAGAAGGGAGCACCTGGTGAACAGGGCGAATATGGACTAAACGGCGCGATCGGTCCCCAGGGTCCAGTGCGCATCGGTCCTGCCGGTCCACCCGGCGATTTTGGCTATCCCGGACCACCCGGACGCAATGGACTGCACGGCCTGACTGGACCAAAGGGCGAGCGCGGCAATACCGGCCGAAAGGGCGAACAGGGTGAAGCTGGCTTTGCCATCTGGGGCAGACAAGGTGACACGGGCGACCGAGGTGAGCAGGGTGCACTCGGCTATGATGGCGCCAAGGGCGAACAAGGCTTCAGCGGACGTCCTGGCCGCACCGGCTTCATTGGTCCGCGCGGACCACGCGGCCCAACTGGCGACGCCGGCTGGAGCGGTATCGACGGCGTCGACGGTCTGTCCGGCCAAAAGGGTGAAGCTGGTGTCACCTACTCCTACACGTATGCCCGTCCCGGGGATCGTGGCGAGCCCGGCCTAGATGGCTTCAAGGGTGAGCAGGGCGACATTGGTGCACCCGGTCTCCTGGGTGCCATCGGTCTGCGCGGCGTTGCCGGATATCGTGGTGATGCTGGTGAGATGGGCTACCAAGGTCCAGACGGCATTCAAGGCCAACGCGGCGACATGGGTGCAATTGGCTTGACCGGACGCGTAGGTGCACAAGGTCAGACTGGTGCGCCGGGTGACCCGGCGCCACCGCCGCCGCCGCCCAAGAGCCGCGGCTTCATTTTCACCCGGCACTCGCAGTCTGTACAGATACCCGTCTGCCCGGCCAATACGAACATGCTGTGGGAGGGCTACTCGCTCTCCGGCAATGTGGCCAGCAGTCGCGCCGTCGGCCAAGATCTGGGCCAGTCCGGCTCCTGTCTGATGCGCTTCACCACGATGCCGTACATGTTCTGCGACTTCAACAATGTCTGCAACTATGCCCAGAACAACGACGACAGCTTGTGGCTGTCCACCGCGGAGCCTATGCCCATGTCCATGACGCCGATTCAGTCCAGAGACCTCATGAAGTACATTTCCCGGTAAGCCCCGCCAAACTTCCACCAGACTTGGTCCATGACCTGTACCAATAATCTATCTATGCCTGCAGCTGCGTCGTGTGCGAGACCTCAACTCGAGTCATTGCCCTGCACTCGCAGTCCATGTCCATACCGGACTGTCCTGGCGGCTGGGAAGAGATGTGGAGCGGCTATAGTTACTATATGGTGAGGATTTGTACTTGATTTGGGTGCGAGATTAATCTCTATTGCTTGCTCGACACAGACTACCATGGATAACACGGGCGGCATTGGCCAAAATCTGGTCTCGCCCGGCTCCTGCTTGGAGGAGTTCCGTTCCAATCCCGTCATCGAGTGCCATGGCCATGGACGCTGCAATTACTACGATGCGCTAGCCTCCTTCTGGCTGGCCGTTATCGAGCAGCAGGATCAGTTTGTGCAGCCGCGCCAGCAAACGCTCAAGGCCGACCAAACCAGCAAGATTAGCAGGTAAGCGGATCTTCCGGCGCTGGGAACAAGGATCACACTACAATATGCTTTCCTTGCAGATGCACTGTGTGTCGTCGTCGTGGCGACAGCTTCTTCACAGTCAAACGGACTTCCTCAACATACAGCTCCGGCTCCGGTTCCGGCTCGGGCTCGGGCTCGAGCTCTTGGTCATCGTCGTCTTCGGCAGGAGCCAGAGCGCCAGCGCCTTCCCCCTACTCCAGCTGGTCGGGTGGCTATCCGAGCATCGATTTCCGTACGGCACCGCAAACAGTACGCCAGCCGCAGCCGCAGCCACCGCCGGCCAACTACAACCGTCAGCCCAACTATCGGAACCCCTATCAATACGCCGGCACGCGCCAATATCGTCGGCGTCCGCGCGACGACACCTACGCTCCTTAGATGCACAGCTCCGTTTACGTACTAAGTAGCAGTTAAATAATAAATAATTAAGTCTAAGTCGCTAACACAAATAGAAACCCCCCACCCTTTGGGGACGCAATCTAATCTAATGTCGAAACAAAAATGAGCAAAAATACCAAAAAAGAAGATTTCTAGTGTAGAGCGAGGCGAGAGAACAACAACAACTTCCACTGTCATAATCCACTGCCCCCCACCCAGCATGATGTAATCCAGCTCTTGAATTTTCCTCTAAGGGATTACAGCTTAACACACAACACACAACGCGAAACAAAACCCAGTTTTTGATAAATAAAAATTTACACATCATAAAAGTAATGCCATAAATATTGATTGTTTTAACTGATAACAATTTGAATTGAAAAACACTTTAATTTAAATATTTTGTATTTCATATGAATTATGTAAATTATTTTCCAATTTCAGGCTAAGCCTTTTATCAGCTTTACCTTGTTTAGAAGCTTTTGGACTTCGAACTTTTACCTGGCAAATCATGTCTAAAGATTTATTGAAAAATTATATATTTATTAATTTTAACAAAATATCCAATGCCCATTCATATGCTTGCCGTAATTTAGAATCTAGTTTTTCTAATTTGTATGAAAAAAATTCTAAACTGTTTCCAAAATTTTTATTCATTTTTACTTAGATCGGAACATTTAAATTCTTTGTAGCGACTTCCCTTAGACTTCAAGTCTTCAAACGCTTCTCTAATTTGTGCTCCAAATTGATTGATTCATCACATTAATTTGTATTATTTATTAAAATAAACTTGTTCATTAATTGTATGGCAAATAGTTTCTTGCTCGATAGAAAATGCGAAAATAGACAAATTTAAAGATATATGTTGATTTCGCTGTGAGTCAATCGAAAAAAGGATAGGCCTTCACATATATTTGCTATTAATTATTTTTTAAACTATATAAAGTAAGAGTGCATAAGTTGAAATGTTCATTGTCAAGTTATTAGCCCGATACCCGCCACAATTTGTGGCAACTGAAAGACAGGCGAACATTATCATTATTTATACTATATATAGCTTGCTTGAGGGGAATTTGTGGTTGACAACGTTTAAGGATAAACAAGGATAACACATAAATATTTACGTAACGCAGAGACAAAACAGTTTTAGTTAAATCTAAATATCCACGTCTGCAACCTCTTCCAGTTTTCGATTTAATATGTTTTTTTTATGTTTGTTTTAATGCTTCTGTTTTTTTTTGGTGTTCTTCTAGTTGTTCAGCAGTTGTTGTCGGCACCTCCGCTCATTACTATTATTTAACAAAGTCGGGATTCTCCTGCACGTTGTCGGTGAACTGCAGCTGATTGTCGATTATTTGGAATAGGACCTCCGGAGCCGGAAAGCGACCGGTTTGGATTTTCGACCAAACGGGCACATCGTTCAATGTTATCTCAAAGGCGCCCGACGAGATGAGCTGTCCCTCGATCATGTTGCCCAAAAAGAATATCATCATACAGGCATAGATCTTGTTGCCCTGCAGATGATTCCACCAGCCCGGCGTGTTCAGGCCCAGGCAGGTGAACGGACTCACAGATGTCACCACAGACACAATGATGATTATTTTCAATGCGAATATCAGCTTGGACAGATAGTAATTCATGCCGGGCGGATCATAATTGGCGCCATGGATCTGTATCTGTGGGTACTTCTCGCCCAGGATATTCACATAGTCCTCGAAGGCCTTGCGATAGCCGCACGAGTAACTACGGGAAAAACAATTGCAAAATAATGAAAGAAAACATGACACATTATTGCGATAACGGATGTCAGCGTGACCAGGCAGGCGGCAGCCACTAACTAATTTACACCTACCAATAAAGAAATGTCATCGTTGGCGCAACGCTCTGTCCAAATTTGGTGGCCGGTATTTCCTTGCCGCCCTCAAAGGCCAGTGCATAGCAGGCGCACAGGCAGAGTACAAGCAATGCCAGATTTCTGCCATTTGTTGATTCCATTTTGTTGGTTTATTTCGTTTTAATTTCAATCGCAAAACCAGCTGGGCAAAGAAATCGGCAGCAGCAAGCGAAAGAAATTTATCTTTTTATCTTCTTCCAATATTGCCATTCAGCGGTGTGTGTAAATTTATCGATATGTTGGTATGATGCATACAAAATATTGCTATCGATTTTCACGGACTACGCTTACAACAATTTTCATATAAATATACATATATAATATATATTAAGTTTCGAAATAAGCAAGATGAACGCTGTTTACCTGATCGTAACACTTACTCTATTTCAAAGCCTTTCCACAGCACTCTACGCTAAACAATTCCCTGAGAGTGTACGGTATCGTCATGCAGACTGAACGTGTACGGCGCCGGCTGTGCCGAACAGCTGTTGTGACATAACCTGCGTCTATTCAAAATGCTGCGCCGTGTAAATAACAATAATGAAATTTAATAAATGTGTATTAAATATTGTATTTTGAACAATTGCAGATATTACCCGCGGCGCGACTGGCGCTGCAGCTGACAAAGCCTGCAGTTACAGCAACCCGTTCGAGCAGCTACAGCGTCTATGAGCCGGACTACCTCGAGGTACTTATCAAATATAATTATAGTTATTTAATATTTGAACTCAATTTTTTATGCACATTTTAGTCACTCAAGCCCAAATTCCCGCAATACGAGAGCCTAAATGTGCAAATCAAAGGCTACGATTATCCGCTGCTCGAGAGCTATCAACGTTTCCTGCACAGCGTGGCCGAGTATCTGGATCTGGATGTCTCCGATTGCTATGCTCTGCCCCCGCAGCAGACCCAAGTGCAGCGACTGCGGCCCAACTCCACGGTCATTGAGTCCGAGTACAAGCTGACCACCTACGAACGCAATCTGCAGCTGAGCAATGTGGATGCACCGATCTATCCGCAATTTCTGCGCATTGCACAAGCGGCGCTGCCCGAGGGCGTTCACCTGTCCGTTTCGGAGCACACGGATGAGCATGAGGAGCGTCGCTATGTGCCTGACCGGGATCTGCTCGATCTAAAGGCAGAACTGGAGCGCATGGGCGGCGCCACACCCACAAAGAAAAAATAACAAAAACCATTGTCATTTGGCATATGGACAAACATTAAAAATCTAGTTTATTTTTATTATTGAATTAATCTGTATAGCGTAAAAAGTGAAGTGTCTAAAACAAACTTTCCTATTTAAAGCTTTGCACTAACTGGACGGCAACGTTTACACATGGAAGACGCATCTCTAAGCTACATTCACCTAAACTAATTGATTGCACTATGATATAAACTCTTAGACAACGCCAAAGTGCACCACTTTGATGGAGGACGAAGAGCTGGGCGTTGTTTTGTTGCTGGACGCCGACGCCGCCTCCTCCTCCCTGCGACGCGTTGGCGGCTTGCTAACATCTGCAGAGTAGGGAGAAGCATATATTAAGAGGGAGAAATTACACATATAGTCCATTACTACTCACTAGTTGTTATGGGATTGAAATCCTTTAAGTACTCATCGTTCGGATGGCAAAGCGGCAAACTATCAGCTAGTTCCTTTCGGGGATTGGTCAAATGACGCGCTGCTGGTCGGGAATAGCCATTACGCTTGGGCGGCATAGGTTTCTCTTTGCGCGGAATTTCCTGGCAGAGCAAACAAATCGTCGTCAGATGTGCGCAATCAAATGTTGAAAAGGCAAGACTTACCGGCACCACAGCCACCTGTATGGTGTCCGAGAATTTAACCTTATTCTTTTCGGCTGGCGCGGCTTTCACGCTGGGCGTCGCAGGCGCCTCTCCATTGAGCGGCGCTGCTGCAGCATTCGAGAGTATGGAAGCGGTGGGCTTTTTGAGCAGCAAACGCTTTTGATAATCCTCATTGCCAAGAGCTGGCAGCATGGCAGGTATGTTGCCCGAGACAAGTGGATGCTGATAGAACTTGGGCTGATGCGACAGAGCTGGTGCCATCTGCGGACCTTGCTCCACAAAGGTTGCCGGCTGCAGACGTGCCACCGGACTGCTGGGCAGGGGCAGGCCCACTGTCTGATCCGGCACATCCTGTGACCAGCCATTGCCTGCAAATGGAACTTAGTTGTGGTGAGCTGTTATCTTAAAAAGTACTTTCTGTTGCCTACCATTCGAATTTGTATGCTTCACAGGTGCCTGGCTGCCACTTTTCTGGGCCAGCGCCACCAGCGAGGTTGTCGTGGAGGCGCTACTCAGCTTGGTTGTTCGCAGCTCAGGCAACGGAGGCCGCAGCTCCGGCTTGGGTATGTTAATCTTAATCATTTCGGCATTGAATATTTTGGACTTGAATGAGGGCAAGGGTGGCACATAGTTTTTCAGCGCCTGCTGGCTGGGCGTCGAGTAACTGGACTGCGAGCAGGCGGAATCGGGGCGCAGTTCGCTGGCTAAGGTCAGGCTGAGATTGCCATCGGCATGATGCTCGCCATGGATGATGGCGGCCGCTTGACTGAATGCGGCCTGAGCAAATTCGCTTAAGCTGCCAATGCATTTGGTCAGATTGTAGAGGTCCATAAACAGATCGTAATCCGCAATGTCATGGGCAATCTCGAAGGCTTCGTTGAACAGATTTTTGCTGCGGAAAGGAGAAACTTGGTTACAAGGAACTGAATACAAACAAATCGCAAACCTACCGCAGCAAGAAGAAGCAAAATCGTCGCTTAAGATCGTAAACCTGATCGCTAAACTCGTCCTTGGTATCCTCGGAGAGCGTGTGCGCAAAGGTTTTCAAAGCTCTGGCCATTAGATCGCATCGAGCACGCCGCTGATCCGGCGCAAAGAATATATAGTTGGCGATTTTGTGCAGCGTGATGAGGCACATGGCGCCATAGGTCTCCCAGTTGAGCGCTGCCAGCACATTGACCGCACGCTCTGGCTGCTGCAGACGCAAATACTTGTCCGCAATAACGTCGGCCGTCAGGCCGGAGTTGTGTATATCGCCACGCATACCGGCGCCGCCAAAGATGCGCATGCAGGCCAATGGTCCCTGCTCGTACAGCAGCAGCAACAGGCAATCTGTTTGAGCGTAATTGTGTGAGAAGCTGCTCAGATCAGGCTTCCGGCTGAAGGCAATGCTCAGCAGCGTCGGCTGCGCGGCAAAGTAGTGCGACAAATCCAGCAGACTCAGCGGCGTGACGCTCTCGCTCAGCAGCTGATTGCCAATGGGCGCCAGCGCCAGATCGAAGCACTGCAGCACCGAACGCTCGTTGGCGACGCACAGCAGCGCCGAATCGCAGTGCCAGGCGCATTGGGTGGGCACAATCTCGATTTGATTAACATATTTGGTTGTCTGCAGCACCAGATCGTGCAGGCAAATGTTGCGATCGATGCTGCCCAAAAAGAGCTTCTCCTGATCGGGACTGAAGGCGAAGCAACAGATCTGCGTGCCCATGGCAATGGAGGTAATTGCGGTGCGCTGCATTTTGCCCGTGGCCAGTTCATATGAGCAAATCTCTGCGCTGATGTCGCCCTTGCGCGAGACCTTCTGTTCCAGCGTGATGATCTGATTCTCCGAGCTGCGCAAAAAGTCCACGCACAACGGATCGTTCTCCGACCAGCAATAGGCAATCGATTCCAGCTGCAAGCTAAATGGAATTTCAGTTAATTGGGAGCAATCATTATTTATACATTTTATAGTTACGCCTTGATCTTGAAGATGTGTATGTTGGCACGATCCTGATCGCGTATTGTGGGTCGCCAGGGATAGACCTCGTTCTGTGAGGATTGTGTCCAGACAACAAACAGATCAAAGCTGCCATTTACAGTTAAATGGCGTGCCAGTTTACGCTCGGAAGCGGCACCCGGTATGATAACATGAAATATACGCGGCTCCATGTTGGCAATCTTCTCCGGCCCCAGCGGTCTCAGGTTGGGCCGCTGCAAATGCACCACCGTCAGCTGGTTGGTATTGTAGGCCAAGACGATGTGGGAACGTGTAAAAAATGCTGCCAAGTAAGAGACAAAGTGCATAAACAAAACATGAAAGCGCGCGCGGGCACAGATTAATTAAAAATTACAATAATTGCATGTGGAATGTGCTGCTGTTGCTGTTGTTGTTGTTGTTGTTGCTTGTGGGAAAGTGGTGGAAACTGCGCGTCGTTAGAAATGCAAATTTCTCCAGCAAAGCAGCACACGCACAGCACAGCACGGCACGGCACACACTCGAAGACTCGACTCACCATCGGTAATGAGCTCGGCGGCCAGTTTGCCAACCAGATACTTTTCAAAGACCATGCGCAATATGTCGCCCGTATAGATGTCGACACAGATGTGCGCAATGATGCCATTGTCGAAGAGCAGCAGCACCTGTGCTGCATCCTGCCATTCGGAGTGCACCAGTTTGTGTGTGCGCAGCAGATCCTCCAGTTTCTTTAGATTATCCTTCAAGCGTCCCGCCGCCTTGCGGCTGTTCTTTAGCACGGCCAGGCCATTGCGACGCTCGGTATAGTCGCGCTTGGCCTGGGCGGTCAGCTCCTGGGAGAGATCACGCTGGCGCTTATAGCGAAAGGCACCCAAATCGCTGCTCTTGATGCGCACCTCATCGCGCAGCGTTGTCCAGAAGTGCAGCTCGCTGAGCAGCATTGCGCCGTCAACGCATGGCCCCGATGCGAACGCAAATGTAAATGAGCATTGGAAACGGGGTGTGGGGCACAAATGGGTGTCAACGATTACAATGGCCAGGCGAACGGATTGGGGCCAAGCAAGTGGCGCATGCGCAACCCACGATATCAGCAGTTAAGCACACACTTATTTACAACTACCAAATATTTAGTAGACTGCAAGTTTAAAATAGTTAAAGTTGATTTTCTTTTTTTGTTGGCAAAACTACGACGCACGCAAACGTAAACACTGAAAATTGGAGTTTTTAGTGCTGGCAGTGATGCGATCACTTGTTGCTTCGATAGATGCTATCGAAACGATGTTATCGAAAGTGATATCGTCTTGCAGTGTGGCCGTAAGTGAATCGAATACAATTCGCGGCGCCAAAATTTGAAAACAGTTTCGATGCCGCCGCTCCACAGATTTGTTATTTCAAAAGTATTTTGTGATAGGTTTAAAGTTTCTAGGTGTCTGGTAATCATCGCCATCTTTTCTTTTGTAGTGGTCAACTTATAAATCCCAGTGAACGCCACACGCGTTGGACTATGTTCCACATTTGGCAGACATGGCACCGATAAGATTATAGCAAAAAGCGAACCATAGTTAGC